CAGCACTTAAAAGGATATAATGCAATGATAACCACTTACTCCTTTGTTCTTTATTTGTAGGTCAAGATGTTGTTAAGTATAAAAAGTATCTTATGGATGTACTCTACATTGGTTATAACATATATGTTACCTAAAGGTAAGTCTGTTATGCACAAAACCATTTATTAAAATTTATTTCACTTGACTAATTGGTAAGGTGTTTCCCAGGACTTGAGAAACAACCCAACTCAGGAGATTCAGTTTCTGGTCTTACCTCTGTCACTCTTTTTGATGCACTATGTAATTTTGTTTCCATGTTCTTCTCATTGCTTTACTGATTTATATAGAAAACTCCCGGTGAGTGGGCATGGTTTTGACAAGGTTTTTACGTCTCTGTCTGATGTCTCCTGAGGTTTGTAAGTGCCATTATTATAATTCAAGTAATAAGAAAGAAAGTGCTGTAGGATTACATTGTGTAAAGTGAAATAGATTGCCTTCTCCAAACATTCAAGAATGCATTTTAATCTTTAACCTGTGCTTCTGAAATGTTGGACTTGTTGTTCAGGTACGTCTTGCCACTTCATTCTTTGTGATCCTCTAAGAAGCTGTTTGCAGTAGATGAGGTGGGGCCTGAAAGAGGCACATTTTACTGGAGGACAAGCACCTTCCACGGGAGTTTTAGCCTAGTGCTATGGTGGGGACAGCAACCAGTGCTGGCAGCACAGGAGCAGGGGTAGATTCCTGGGGTGGTCTTGGTCAGGCTGCAGACGTGGTGAATGAAATGAGGGAGTTGCAGGAACACTGGTTCGTCATACCTCCCAGTCAGATCCCAATGCACATACATCATGACACAGCAGCTTTTTGGATCTATAGGTGACAGCTCATACCCTCTTTGTAGTCTTGGTGAAAGGTGTCACATGCAAGTGCGATACAGAGGAAACCAGTAGCCCCAGTTTCTGCTTTGCTCTGTGATCTGTCGAGGAGCAGCTGGGGACATGACTCTGCAGCAGGCAGTCTGGCTGCCATTCCTCTCTTGTGGGGGGTTGCCATGAGCTAACCTGGTGGCAGGTCTCTTGGCTTCTGGGATCTGGAGCAAGGATGTATTAGGGTAGCTGCAGGTCTTTGTTTTGAGTGGAAAGGAGGAGTCCTTGCCATGGTTATTTGAAAGTTTGAGTTTTTAGTAAGGAAAAGGTCCCTGAAGGTGCTGCAGGCTCACAAAATTGGAATGATAGCTTCCCTAAGCCTCAAACTAAGATTTTTCTTTAGTTTTTTGTTGTTGTTGTTGTTGTTGTTGTTTGTTTTTTTTTCATTTTACCTTCTTTTCTTTCCAGCAACTCCTCAAAATGATTTTAACTTTTGGGAAAATCAAATGTACTAATTTTTTTTTCCCAGCTTGAACATTGTTGCCAGCAAAGTCCTTAGGTAGCTGTGTAAGTCCTGCTTAGTGGACCCAACTGAAAAAGAGTGTGGGGTTTTTTTTTCAGGCAAGTTGGGACCACCATCCTCTACTATCTTCTACCATTACTTTCTCCTTAGAGCTGTTTTTTCATTCTTCATTAAACATACATCAGGACAGGACCATTAGACTTGTCCTCAGGGACAACAGGTTCAAAGCTTCAGGTGATGGGCAAGCCACTAAAACTGAGCTCCCATTTTCATATTCATGGAGGCCTCAGACTGATTTGGTTATTAAATGTCAAGCTTTTTTGTCTCCTCAAAGATTTTTACTTAGTAAAACATCTGTACATGTAGACATGCATGAATCTTGGATCCACAGATGATGTTTAGTAATTTGTTCATAGGAGACATTCAGAGAGGCAAAGTAAGCAATTGCCAGAAGAGGTCGTGCAATGTAAGTCTACATGGTGAACTTGGAAGTGTGTTTTTGTTGGTGTGTTTTGTTTTCTTTTGTAAGCTACTTTTACTTAAAGGGGGCTTATAGGAAAGATGGAGATAGATAGGCTTTTTACTGGAGCAGGACAAGAGACAACAGTTTTCCCTGAAAGATAATAGGTTTAGATTGGACATAAGGAAAAAAATTTTTACAGGGTGGTAAGACACTGGCACAGGTTGCTCAGAGAAGTTGTAGAAGCCTCATCCCTGGACGTGTTCAAGGCCAGGTTGTGTGGGGCTTGGAGCAACCCGGTTGTTCTGGTTTGAGAGCCCCGGGATAAAAGTTCTCTGGGGCTCCTGGCACAGGCAGCAGTCATCACAACAGGGGGAGGAGGGGCATCTGTGCCCATGGGGAGGAGAAGATGCGTCAGGTGACCCAAATGGACAGATCATGGTATTCTTTCCCATGTGCTCAGTATATAAGGGCCCCTAAGAAGAGCCCTGAGGCCTTTAGTGCTTGATGGCTGGACGATTGCCATCAGCTCTTCCTCATGTCTCCCTGTGCTGCTGCTGTTCCTGTCCCCTGTTTTCACACTGCAGCACTGTTTGTCAGGACACGTTGCCTTCCCCTGTTTTCCCAGGTGGGAGTGGCATGGGCACTTTAAGGTTTCATTTTCTAATTTTTTTGCGCTGTTATCAGGACTCTAGGCTCGAGTGCTCCTGTCTGCTGCGGGGTCCAGGTTGGGACTCTTTTTCTCGGGACCTTGTTTTCATCCAGAAGGTGTAGGTTCCATATTAACATATTCTCTTGTATCTTTGAATATATTTGCATACTTGTTACTGTTAGTACTATTTTCTTTTTCATTAAACTGATTCCAGGGTTTTTTTCCAACCTCAAGGTCTCTCTCCCTGGTTCTCCTGTTATCCTTCACTAGGAAGGTGGTGAGGGAAACACAGAGAGCACCTGTCAGAGCTTAGTGTTTGGCTCAGCCCTAAACTTCTATACTGGTCTAGTGGGAGGTGTCCCTGCTTGTGGCATGGGGTTTGGAGCTAGATGATCTTTAAGGTCCCTTCAAAACCATGCTGTAATTCTAAGTGATAGCCTTCTTTAAGGTAAAAATATCTGGTTTAAGATGTAGGAAAAGAAAGAGCTACTACCAATAACTAGTCAGCTTCAAAATGATGTAAATGGTAGAAGATCACTCACACAAGGAGAGGTCTAAAGATAAGATTTTTATCTGAAAATCAACCTCAGGATGGAGAACCTGTAAGGAGATAGAATGAGTAAGGCAAGGGAATTGAACAATAAATTTAAACCTAACATTTCTGCTATGACCTATTGAAAGTCTCTTCATGCTTAATTGGGGCATAGTTCCATGGTGAGTCAAACTTCATGAATGTTTTGGATGGGATGGTCCTGCCCCTTTTCTATCCCGTGGTGCTAGATTTTGTGCTTTCCTTAGTTCTGATATTGAAATTTACATAGGTTTATGGCATTTCTTGCAGGTGATTTTTCCACTGGATTAGACCTTTGATCTAATTCATTGCCTTGCCCAAATGCTAGTGCTGGCAGAATTCAGGGATTGTGAGTGCATCACTGGAAATGGGGAGGAGTGAGATGGATTGTTAGAGTGGTGGAACATGGGTTGGCACCTTTAGATGTCCCCACCTTCATCTTTTAGGACGTCTTAAATGGCTTGTGTTCTCTCCAGAGTAAAATTTTTAGTTCTCAAGCAAGTTCTTAATGAACATTCCAGTAAGGGCTTCTCAGGAATATAGACCAGGTTCTGAGTGGTCTTATTTGCCTGAATCTTTCAGAAGGTATTCAGAATGACCTTCATGTTTCTAAAATATACAGTGAAATTTGTGGGTTTTACATTTGAAGTTGGGGTCCATACTTTTGCCATAGACAGTCTTAAACATGTTCGAAGTATAGCCATTGTGAAGAAGAAAAAGATAACATTTTCTTTTTTATGGATTGATCCAATAGAGTTTGTGGTGTCAACTCATATCGTTCTGTTTTGTAGAAATATCAGTCACTTTGTGTAATAACTTTTTTGGAGTACTCTTTTTTTTTAATAAGATTGTCTTTTTTGTTACAAGATTAGACAATGTTTACAAGTACAGTTCTTTCTTTTGTTAAGAAAACACCTTTAAAATAATGTTTCTCTGCATTTTTAAGAGTTAGAGACCTTGAATGTCATCTTTTTCATCTTTTTGAATCCTGAATGTGAATATAAAATTGAAACCTTGAAATCTTTAACAAAAAAGAAATTCCCCTGCTTCTGTTCCCCCAATGAATTGGATCAGTCCATATCATTTAATTACTCCGTATGATTTCATAGAATCATAGAAACATTCAGGTTGGAAAAGACCCTTGGGATCATCAAGTCCAACCTATAACCCTACTCTACAGAGTCCTAAACCATATCCATAAAGTATATCCCCTAACACTACATCTAAACGACCTTTAAACACCTCCAGGGAAGGTGGCTCAACCACCTCCCTGTTCCAGTGCCTGACTACTCTTTCTGTGTACTCTTTTTCTAACATCGAGCTAAAATCTACCCTGTTGCAGTCTGTGGCTGTTCCCTCTAGTTCTACTACCAATTACCTGTGAAAAGAGACCAGCACCAAGCTCTCTGCAGTGTCCTTTCAGGTAGTTGTAGAGTGATAGGGTCTCCGCTCAGCCTCATCTTCTTCAGACTAGACAGCCCCAGCTCCTTCAGTCGCTCTTCATAAGATTTATTTTCTAGGCCCTTCACCAGCTTTGTTGCCCTCCTCTGCACTCGCTCCAGCACCTGGATATCTATCTTGTACTGAGGTGCCCAAAACTGAACACAATACTCAAGGTGAGGCCTCATCAGTGCTGAGTACACGGGGACAATCACCTCCCTACTCCTGCTGGTCACACTGTTTCTACTAAAAGGCAGGGTGCCATTGGCCTTCTTGGCCACCTGGGCACACTGCTGGCTCATATTCAGCTGCTTGTTGATTAGAACCCCCAGGTCCCTTTCTGCCAGGCAGCTTTCCAGCCACACTTCCCCAAGCCTGGGGCATTGCATGAGGTTGTTGTGGCTCAAGTGCAGGACCTGGCACTTGGCCTTGTTCAAGCTCATCCCATTAAACTTGGCCCATCGATCCAATCTATTCAACTCCCTCTGTAGAGCCTCCTTATCCTTGTGCAGATCGACACTCCCTCCCAGCTTGATGTCATCTGCAAACTTATTGATGACACCTCCAATGTCCTTATCAAGGTTGTCAATAAAGATGTTAAACAGAAATGGTCTCAACACTTAGCCCTGTGGAACACCACTTGGGACCGGCCGCCAGCTGAATTTAATTCCATTGACCACCACACTTTGGGCCCATCCATCCAATCAGTGCTTCATCCAGCAGATGGTATGCTCATCCAGGCCATGAGCCACCAGGTTTTTTATGAGCATTCTATGTGGAACAGTGTTGAATGCTTTTCAAAATCTACGTAGACAATATCCACAGCCTTTCCCTTGTCCAATAATTTAATTAAATTTAATTAGATAACTTAATAAATTTAATTAAATAGTCACTTCAATATGATGCATTACAATATTTCCTTCAAAAAGTTTTCAGGCAATCCTCTTGCAAAAGTTTAACATTTTTCTTCTCAGACTCATATGGGAAATCGGTAGTTCTTTTTAAAGTGTAAATCCTGGAATCCGTGTGACTTAATGTTAGGTCATAACCAAACTGAAGCTTAATTTAGAACATTGCAAGTTACAAGTATGCAAAGTTTTATGTGTTCACCCACTAATCATTATTCCCATCTTCGTTTTCTTTTCCACTCTTATCTTGGTGAAGGGTCACGTTCATAAATACCTAGCATGTTTGCATGGTGTGCTCGTTAGATTTTTATGTAGCCACAAACTACATAGGGGAAACTTAGAATGGTCTTGCATGGCTTCTTTAAGACTTGATATTCTCAGAAGATGCATGTCAGGAAGGCAGCAGGAGATACGGTGTAAACTTCTGGGGTCACGGGAGTGCCCTGCTCTAAGACCTTTGCTGTTTGCTCTAGTACATGTGAAGGATTAATGACAGAAGTTCACAAGCAAGGTTTACGCCTGCTCCTAGTGTGGCATTTACTCGCTTTGAGCTAGCTGATGCTAGGGAATTGTAGTTTACAAGCTGGACCTTGTGATTATGATCAATCATGGAGTTTATCTTACCTCCGTTAAGCAACTATTTTTTATGCCATGAGTGCATATGCTTTCATGGAAAAAGCACTAAAAATCCCCTAGACTGCAGTGTGTGATGTGTTCTTTGAAAGGCATGTAAATAATATACCACTTTAAACATCAGTTTACTTGATCATGTTTGAGTTCTGTATGTGCTATAAAGTACACATGTGCATGCCTAAGATCCTGTATACATTATGTTGAGTCCTGCAGCTGAGATTTACCTTTTCCTGGCTTCTTGTGAGTTTCCTGCAGAATATGAAAGTAGTTGGTTATTCATCACTGTATGCCTCCTTTTATTCTGCTTGCTCAAACCACAAATCACCTAGTAAAAAACTCAGTGAGGACTTTTGTTGAGTCTCAGTCTGTTACCTCTGCTGTCAATGTTTCACACAAGTTTTTGTAAACGGTACATTACTTTCAATTTATTGTCTTCAATAAAAGATTTGTGGTTAATGAAAAGACCTCTCTTAGCATTAGTGGTCAGATTAATAGAAGACATAATTTCATTGATCCTTTCTGCTGGTAGGCAGAGCAATATACCATATGTCTAGGCAGGTTTTTGATGAACTAAAAATGAGATTACAGTTTTTTGTCTCATAAATTTGTCTTAAAATAAATAGAAACTTTTATTCTTTAAGCATGTGAGTTTTGTCTTCATACTCAGCATCAACATGCTTTTCAGCTAACATTAATTACACAGCCAAATTGCTCCTGTAAGCACTATCATTTCATTTAGGGCATTCTTTTCTTCAGACTTTTTCTCCTTTACAGACCTACTGATTTGATCATTGTGGTTAAGGTAATACAAAAGGGCAGAATTCTGTTCTTTTTTTTCCTCTTTAGATTTCTGTTTAAGAGTTTTGCAACATTCACAACAGAAAAAAAACCCAACACTGTGCAAATTCTAGGGTAGGAGACTTTGTTCTCAACAAGTTCTTCTGTAGTTTGTCTTGCTCTTCCAAAAAAAGATCTCAAGCTATGTGTCACTGGTAGGATAAGCTGACTTTGCAGCTGAAATGGTGGACTGAGAGGACATACGGCAGTTTTGCTAAGGAAAAAAAGCCATGAAAAGTCAAGCTGGAATGTTTTTCTTTAGAGTGTTCCACACGTCATCATCTCCATGATAAACTGGTAGAAACACATAGCCACAGCTTTAGGTTTGGTGAAAACAAAACAGTAATAAGTTGTGTCAAAATCCTGCCCAGTAAGTAAGACCTGCAAGGACATCACATGAGAGAAGTCTTCATTTTGCATCTGTTCCTGCTGCTTACGCTAATGTTGAAGATGTTTAATATTTAAACAGGGGAAGTCAACAAAAATGCTCAGAACCCAAGGCATGCTATCTACTGAGTCTGCCCATAATCTGACTGCCTTGTGCTGCTCTTGGCCTGACTCTGTAATCCCATCTTCTTGTACAAACCTCTCATTGACTCTGCTGGGAGTTCTGCCAAGATACGTGTTTGTGGCCAGGTGATTTGGACTCAGCTGTACTTTTATTTCTTTATTGTCTGTGTATTTTCCTTAATAAATTAATTATACATGTCTGATACATATTAGTTAGCAACAGAAAAAATGCTTACGTTAATTGCCAACCAATTTAGTAATTTCAAAATCATCCTCTTAAGAGTACATGATATTACAAGTATTCTTGGTTCTACATAGTGGGGTGGTATAAAACAATATTGGCAAATGCTTGCTTTTCTTAGCTTGTGTTCCAATTTATAAACAGTTACAAAATGTTTTGTTCATATTTTTGCACACCATGTCCCTTCTAAGGAACAATCTATCACATAACATTGATAGTGGCTGAAAAGGAGACATGAAGTATAAGCATAGGGAAAATGCTAAAGCAACAAAAAGGCTCTGTGGTTTAATAGAAGATACTGACACTTTCAGCATTGGCCAGTAAATTCTGCTTGACCAACTAACTTGGACTAATGCAAGAAATCAAGTTTTTTGGAAGTGAGCAAGAGCATAATCTGTTCTCATGCTAATTTTTTTATATTTTTTTAACAGGGAAAAATTCTCCCCTCTTGTTCTCCGCTCTTTTTCTTCTCTCTACTTGTCAAAACAAAGAGCATTTACAGAATGTTTTATACTGCTTTCTACAGTTAGAAAGCGTGTTTGTAGCTACATGATCTCCTATTCTGGGATGTAGCCCAGTTTAGGATAGATCTAGTTTGTATATTATAATGATATGTGTTGTTTGCCAAGTCGGCTGTTTGCAAGTTTTTTCAGTCTGCTGATGTGCAGACACAAATTTTAAAGATGAGAAATTTCCTCAGGGTTCAGTGCTGATATTCCAGATCACTCATAACCAGAAAAAACATTCTCAAAAGTTTATTAAATTCTGTCAGTCATTATAATTATAACTAGGTCATTTTTCATTTGAGAAGTTCCTGTAATGTATATAGATGACAAGAAATCATAATAAATACTAAATATTTTTGAAACTGATTTTAATCTCCCACCTGTGTAATTTGGCAGTAATTCCGTCACAACTGATAGGACTGAGTACTCATTCTGTTTCTTTATCTCTACCCACTGCACTTCAGTGATGTTTCAAGAAATTAAAGGTGATATAAAAGGCAGTGTTCCCATACTGTACATCTTGAAGATAAAACCAGTCCTTTCTAGTTTTTAACAATAAGTTGGCTTGAGGTGAGGGAAATAGAAACCCCCCCAAAACCAACAAAATCTCAATGGATTTCTTTTTTCCCCTAAAGAAATGTGTATGCAGTCAAAGCTTTTGAGCTAGTCTTCAGTAACTTTTACAGGCTTGCCTTCAAGCCTTGTGAATTCTCCAGTCTTCAGTTCTATTTCTGATCTGCTTTTGTCTTTACTTGTTTTATGAATAGATTCTTGCTAGCTCTGGGCCCAAAGTGTATGAAGTGAATAGTTTGTTCGACTATTAAATGTGAGTTGTGCTATCAGTGGTCTCTGTTTATGAGTTAATGGAAGAATGAAAATCTCACCACATGCCTGAATCACAGAGTGAGCATCTTGCTGGTACATATGCTCAGAGAGTGCTGTTCCACGTGAACTTTTCAGATGAGCTTTGGGTGCAACGCAGCTGTTTTGGTACAGCACTATCCCATTGTTTTTATACTCCCTCTGGTATAATTAATTTTGATACAGTTGTCTTAAGTGTATCTGCTTGTGTTGCCAAAAATTTCTAGTTAGGTAGTCATGACTAGAAAGGACCTGAGGACTTCCATTCAAACTTCTGAGTCTTCCTTGGTCAGTCCGTTTGTATTTGTTTTTTTTCTGGTTAGTTCTTTATCACCAAAATGCTTAGCCATCAAGCTGATAATTCTTGTATTGAATCTTTTTAGATAATACTACTAATACTTCATCCTGTATAAAGCCATGTGTGTCTGTGAAAAATAATCAATGAGAAATATTTCCCTTAATGTTTTTTTCCTTCTTCTTTTTTCCCCCAAAAAGAAATCTTACACTCTTTATGGAGAGATGATATTTTGGTGATAGACAAATAACTAGATAATTTTAATGTGTTGGTGTCTCCTGTTCCATGTATCACTCTATTGCTGGCTAGTATTTGTTATTGTATTTCTAAACTTTATTAATCCTAGCTCTCTTCAGATTAATAATCAGCACGTTCCACCTTTCAAAAAGTGTTAGAGTGCAGGACAGTGAAAGAATACTGTTGTGCATCAGTTTTAATCTTCATTAAGCTATTATGTATGGTAAAATAATATCACATAAAAAAATAAAAGAAATCCTCTCTTCAGACTGTTGCTGTGTGCAAGTTAGGTGAACAGTAGTCAACTTTTCCCCTCAGGATATTGTCAGATGGAAGCATTTCACTGTAAAGTGTTTACAGCTGGAGATATCATAAAAAATGATAAACGTCCTATCATGTCAAGTTTGAGCCAAGTAGGGACTTTCTGTGCAGTTTACTTCCTTCTTTGCTTTAACATCCTGAAATGCTTTGTTTCTACAATGTGTTAAAATCTCTGATGTTACAACGAAATACTTTTGAAAGAATGACTGTTTGGGAGAATCTCACTGGAAAGGCTTTTGTTTAGGACATATGAAATAAAAAGAGTTAACCCTTAAAAATAATGAAGTGAGAGCTGTTTTGTATGCAAAGTCATGGGCTATGTTTTACTCCTAGAACAGGAGCAAATGAACAATCTCCTGTGAGGTAAGGCAAGGTATAAACATCAGTAGCGCCCCTGTATGCATGCTTTTGGCCAGCAATAGGTGCAAGGTAACTCACCTTTTACTCAGAATGGTCTTCCTCCTATCAAGTAAAAAAAAACCACCACAACCCACCAAAACCAACCCATAGCTCTTAGAGTTCAAAACGGTTTCCAAAGGTGGCCTGTAAGTTGTGAGTGCAGCAAGTGGAGAAAATAGTTCAGAGTAGTGAATCAATTTTGCCCAAACAGAAAAGGACTATATCAGCAGTCTAGGATATCGGTGCAAACTCTTATTTACCTTGCACTGTTACAAGTCCTGTTACAAATCAGGTAAGGTTCATGGATTTCAGATCTTGGATGTCTGTGAATCTTTATATAGCAGTGATATGTATCCGTTTCTGATTTTGCTGTTCCAAAAACATGATTTCCTCTTTATCTACTCCTCCCCTCCCCCCCTTCTTTTTTTCTAGTTAAAGCAGAAAAAAAAACCCTGGTAAAGGGATCCCTCTCTGGAACTTCAGTCCTGCCGTGCTTCTTTTCAACCACGCCCACTATAGCCTCCAGCTATGCAGCTGAGTATCTTCGAATCAAATGGTCAAAGGTTGAACTGGATAAAAGTGGAAAAGATGCAAAGGAAACCACAGTTCTGGTGGCCCAAAATGGCAACATCAAAATAGGTCAAAGCTACAAAGACAGAGTCTCTGTTCCGTCCCATTCAGAGGAGACCGGTGACGCTTCGCTGACTATCTCTAAACTGCGCGCAAGTGATGCAGGAGTGTATCGCTGTGATGTTATGTACGGAGTTGAAGACACACAAGGCATTGTATCATTGGCTGTTGCAGGTAAGGATTTATCTAGCTCATTTGTAGTTGACAGTGATTCCAATTAAAACAGTAAAAATTAGTAATTAACGCATAACTAGAGAGCATTTAAAGGAGTGTTGTTAGCTTTCCATCACCCTTCCTTCACTATTCACTCTTCCCATTGTCCTTCTATCTTTCATTTATTCTTATGAATCTTTTCCAATCCATAGTTTATATCCTTCCCAGTGGATTTATATCCTTTGCAACACAAACTCCTTTGTGCATTTTTTTAAGGGATACGTCTGAAGTTTTCTCAAACCAGATCTTTTGAAGCAAGACACGTATTTGTACTGATATATCTGTCTGAAAATATTGATGTCCTTACAGGAAGACAAACTCTGCAGGTGCAGAAGCATTTTCTCTTCAACTGATGTGTAGGACAAAAATAAGCATCTGCCTTGCTACTGTAGCTGTGGTTGGCCATATTGGCAGTTGATGTATAAAACCTTAATGCCAGCAAAGCTGGAAGCCATCCTAATAGGAATGTCAAGTGTAAAAGAAGAGTGTCTGTTGTTCCCATAATAAAAGTTGGGATGATAGGAATAAAGAAGAAGCTGTAGGAAAACAAGAACAGAGGTGGCTTCTAATGTTCTTCCACACAGAGGATCCAGGGCTAAGATTTTGCTTGCCATCACCATAAGGAAATTGCCTCCAAAACTGAGAGGGCAAGAAGCACATAAGTAAAGAGATCGAAGAGAAAGGACTTTCAAAACCATGTAAGTGACAAAAGGAGCATCTGATCTGTAGGTATTTTGCTCCTAAGGGCCTGCTTATACAGCATGGTAAATACAGCATAAAGACCACTCCAGAGCCTAGTGCTGTATAGCCCTGTCAGTCTGGTGCTGAGCCTGGGCTGCCAAACCATGCTGAAAGGCAGGATGTATTAGCCCAGGCTCTGTGACATGCATTTGCAAATTTTGTACCCAAATTACTCTGTGTGCTTAGAAGAACACTGAGCTGTGTGGATGTACCAGCTTGCATGAGCCTTAGTTTGGACTCTACCTTACACTCCTTTTCATTTAGGTGTGTTTTGGAAGTTCAGTATTTAGTCGTATAACTGAATCCCAAGCCAAACTTTAATACAGGCTGATGGAAATTGTGGCATTGGCAAGATTTTTTTATGTGAGCTTAATACTACATTGTTCTTCCAATATGCTTAACCTAACTTGAACAGTCTTTTGGCATTGATTCAATGAAAGGTTTTGAAGGTATGATCTTAATTTTGAAATAGAATAAATCAGTGTAACCATTAATGACAGTATAACTTAATAAACTGTGTAGTCCTAATGGCAAGAGCAAAAGAAATCCTGTTTTGGACATTGCTTTTCAATAACTAGTGTAACTGGCATTCCTTATTCCTTTTCAAGTGTTCCCTTGACCACACATCTACATCCAGGAGGAGCAGATGTTTGCTACAAATATATCTGAGGATATATGGCAGTGCTTCAGCTTCAGTAGTTAGTGCTCCTGAAAAAACACTGCAGTTTGATGAGCTTACCAGATTATTTTTTTTTACTCGAAAGAAAATTTCACACTGCATTCATTCACTCAATTTTCTTTCTGCAATTGTTATTTTGTATGATTGCTTTAATGTCGAAGTCTCAGGAGGCAGGAAAAAGACATATCTTGACCCCAATGGAAAATAACATTTTTAGATTGTCACTTTTGCACGCTATTCTTCATATCCTACATTAAATAATCAAATGCCATTTATCAGAAGGATTGCATATGAATGTTGCTGCTCAAACCTTCTGCCCCCACTTCAGTAAAGCTTTATTTTTTGTGTGTGTCATTTCAACTGTTAGAATCATAGACTCATAGAATGGCCTAGGCTGGAAGGGACCTTAGAGATCATCTAGTCCAACGTCCCTGTCATGGGCAGGGATGCCACCTCTCGACTAGACCTGGCAACACATGGGGACCGAGCAGGAATCGAACCCGCGACTTCGGTGTTGGTCCTTGTTGCCAGCACCGTGCTCAAACCACTGAGCTAACCGGTTAGTAAATAATAAAACACCCTCCATAGTACCCAATGCAATTTTTTTCCGTTATGTTGTCTTTTTGAATCTGTACCCTAAAGTGATAACAATTGGAGAAGTGTGATCTTCTGTACACTCTCTTTATGCATTCTTCTCCAGAATGGTTCAGCACTATACTTTGGTCAGTTCTCCTGCATGGAGCTGGGGCGGCTGCATGTAGGGTGAACTATGAAGTTAAAAATTATCACCAGTTTTGCTATTCTGCAAACTTTATGCTCATCGCAAATGAAACATAAAATGCATTTGTGTAGCAGTCTTCCTCTGAGGACTGAGCGGGCACATGTTGCTTTAACTTCTCAGTGGGTTAAAGTATGCACCAAAAGTGGTAGCTCTGGCTCAGGGAATACTTACTTGCAGCTTACTTACAGCTTAAATCTTACTTCAAGTGAAGCAGAATAATTTTATTAAGGATAGAAAGCTTCTGCAAAATTCCATGTGAGGCAGTTCAGGTGTAGGAAAAAGTGTTACTAATGATTCAGAAAGCAACATTAATCTATTCCTTCAAGTGCAAACACTGTTATGTGTGTTAAAACTAATTTAATAACTGGACAAATGAAGCAGGGCAATGCTTATCTGCATCGTTCTGCTGAAGTAGGTGAAACTACTCTTCTACTATCATAGTAACTTGATGGGGTTTGTGTGATTGTTCGAGCATTTTTAAACCAAAGCAGGACTTGAGTTCTAGGTATTTGCAGGATATCAATTTGTTTTACAGACATTCCCTCATTTAAAGCTTCCAGACAAAAAGCACATTCCAGTATCGATGAAGCCAAGTAGATAAGCTTAGACAGCTGTGCTGTTCATTTTTCAAATCAAATTTTGCAAGTGAGATAATAGATAACAGTGAGAGCTAACTAGAATAAGAAAGAAATTACTGTAATTGCTCTTTCTGTACTTTCATTTAGGTATGTTAGGAATATAAAACTGCGGTTGAACCCATTGTGCGTCAGGTGAAAGTATTTTACCAGTGGTGGAGTGTGTTGTGACTGAAAAATGGGATTTCTAAGAAAGAATAATTTTCTCTTCTAGTTGTTCCCAAGTTAAGCTGTACACAAGTTTAATCACCCACGTTGCCTTTGTTTCTACATTGCATATTTCTACTGCATCATTTTTTGATGTCAAGTCTTCCTAAAGAATGGCAGGATATTGGAAACTGCTATAATCCTGTGCTTTTTCTTTGCTTGGATTATAGGCACAACCTATGCCAGCTGCTTGGATACCAACAGCTACTTATGTCCTGTTCACTAGGAACTCAGCCATCACCAGGATGCTCTGGCTTAACATGGTATCTTCTAGGGGGCCGGTTAGCTCAGTCGGTTGAGCGTGGTCCTGATAACACCAAGGTCACAGGTTTGATTCCTATTCTGTCCCCATGTGTTTCCTGATCTAGTCGAGAAGTGGCGTCCCTGCCCATGACAGGGAGGTTGGATTAAATGATCTCTAAGGTCCCTTCCAGCCCAAGCCAGTCTATGATTCTATCTACTGAGCAGTGCTTACCTGTATGTGCATCATAAGCTTGTGACAGAGGTGAAATAATTTGATTTGAACTCTAAACTGCTCAGCTTAAAACTTAAGTTTAAACTGCCTGAGGGTGTAAGAGTGGTTATGTTCATGTTACTAACCAGGGTGACTCAGCTGTCTGTACAGTCCTGGGGATCTGATCTGGGAAAGTCCTGACTATGTAGGAGTAGAAGGTCACTTAATCCAGTTTCTTTGGTATTGCAAGTAACCATGCTACATGCTGTGCTACATGCCTTTATTAGTCCCAAAATCAAGGGAAAGCACTCATGGGTTATCAGGTGCTATTCATATCTAATCTCTAAGATCGGTGTACAGATAGAATTGTATCCTATATGTTACTATTTTCATTTTGCAGGTGATGAAAGTGTAAGAGAGAGGAGTGAAACACTTAGTTTTAGCCCATGCAGGAGCATTCTGGGCAGCCAGATGCCTACCCTGCTCATTAATTATAACTGTGGAGCCATCCTTGAGATGGGGGACAGCACCAGTGGCAACAAGTCTTCAGGCTCATGCAGAGGGGCAGTTTTATCACACTCTATACCTCCTTTCCTGTTACTGATTATGGTAAATGCTTTTCTTACACCTTGGTTGCTGCTGTAATTACATCGACTTCTCAGGCAGGGAAACTTTATGTTCAAAAGGGATCTAAGAGTATTATGGTGTTATATGCCTCAGTTTCTTACAAGAAGAGAAATATGCAGAACAAGTCATTCATATTAATTTTTCCTTACACATGTTATCTTCTCTGTATGTATTAATGATATTTTCCCTTTTCCTTGGGAGCAGCTCTTCATTTGTCAGCTCTTGTAATTTCATCTTTCTACGGTGTTTTGAGCTTTTCTTCTGACTCTTCTTGATGGTATTAAACCCACAAGTCAAACTGTCTCATGTTAGGAGTCCTTGACCTCACAGTTTTTTAAATGTTTAATGTTATCTTTGTTCAGCCACTGTTGTCTGAAAATGCTGGGTCTTGGGACCCTTCAGGTACTGAAGGGAGGTGGTTTCCGCTTAATAGCTCACACTGAGTTATCACTGCCTTCCCACTTTAAGCTGCTTTTGGACACAGGTGGGTTTTCGCTATATCCTGGTAGAGACATTTGGGAACAAGGTGGAGGTTGTTGGCCATCAGATAATGCCTTCTGAAGACCATGACCAAGTGTTTCTTTGCCTGCTAATGGTTACTGAATGAAATTTCACAAGCTTGACTTGGATGCCAATTCTGAAATTAGGAAACTTGAAGTCAGGATGGGATTTAATTCACCTTTGACATTTTAAGGTTGTATGTGTAGTCTAAGCTAAATGCACAGGCTTGTGCTACCTTCAACTTCTCTCCGATGAGAGTCTTGGGTGAGATGAGCTCTCTGATGGTCCATATTCCCGGTCACCGTCAGAGATATTTAGACGACCAGTTGAGACTAG